AATTAACCTGAAGAAGCCAAGCCTATGTGCACTGAAAAAAATTGTACAGCTACTTTGCCTCCCGTGGCAATCGTCACAAGAATGGATAAACAGGACTACATCGCCTCCCTCCTCCTAAACCTATGAAATTATAATTGTCTAAATTATTTATTTTATTTTTATTTATTTTGACCACTTCATCTTTAATTTACGTGTTATCCTTGTAAAATTAATTTATTCTATCCATTTCTACCTTTTAAATCTGTATTGATTTTCATCGTTAATTATTATTAACCCATTGACATTTTGACACTGACTAATTATTGTTAACAAACATATCAGTGCCACTACCTGATTGATAAACTGTTGTGTATTGTAATAAAAATGCTTTACGTGTTTATTAGAGGAGAGCAGGAGATGAGGATCTAATTGAAAAGTAAATATTTCTTCACTGCTCAATCTTTCTGTTTTCTAAATGTCTAAATGGGGATTTTTTTTCTATATTTTTATTATTATTGTAATTTATGTATCTTTAATGAATTTTAATTCCATTAATTTCGATAGAGAAAGAAAGACCAGATTTACAGTATAAAATGATATAGCCATCATTCTATTTCACAGGTTCCCATCAACTAACTGCAAACCACTACCTGAAATTACAATGGTTATAAATAACAATAACACTTCATACTTCATTGTTTGAAAGGTAACAGAGAAAACATTATAAGGTGAACGCATCATCAATTTATATACTGTCCAACTATGAAAAAGAGAAAACGGGGGGTGAGAGAAGACAGAAATCAGAAAAAATCTAGTAAACAGTGTCAACATGGCAACTCAAGAAGGTCAAGTTCTGTTCGGTGCCAAGTTCTATGTTGAATCCAGACAGACAGACTCAAGAAGGTCAAAGTTCGTCAATTTGAAAACTTGCTTGGTGAGTTGAGCTCACTAGTGTGTATGACACTAATCAGTGTAATGAAAGTGATATGGTTACCAAGGGAGTGAGAGATTGACCACACTCTCTTTCTGTATGCGTAAGTTTGGTCTGTGAAGTCTGGTCTGCTGAAGCAATTGCAATCAAACGTCACAGGCCAAACTTATGCATACAGAAAGAGAGTGTGATCAATCTCTCACTCCCTTGGTAACCATATCACTTTCATTACACTGATTAGTGTCATACACACTAGTGAGCTCAACTCACCAAGCAAGTTTTCAAATTGACGAACTTTGACCTTCTTGAGTTGCCATGTTGACACTGTTTACTAGATTTTTTCTGATTTCTGTCTTCTCTCACCCCCGTTTTTTCTTTTTCATAGTTGGACAGTATATAAATTGATGATGCGTTCACCTTATAATGTTTTCTCTATTACCTTTCAAACAATGAAGTATGAAATGTTATTGTTATTTATAACCATTGTAATTTCTGGTTCGCAGTTAGCTGATGGGAACCTGTGAAATAGAATGATGGCTATATCATTTTATGCTGTAAATCTGGTCTTTCTTTCTCTATTGAAATTAATCAAGGGAACCAAATGTATGAAATTCCATTGTGGTCTTACCTAACAAATCGATATCATTTAAAAAACACCAATAGTGTTGTTATCGACTTTCATTCTGGAATATTCTGTGTATATAAACACACACATATGTGTATAATTGTAGAGCCAGAAGAGGAGGAAATTATCGAAAAGGATATTCTTCTTTGCTGGCTCAATTATTTTGTTTGTTTTCTCCTAGATGTCTGAATAATTAAGTCGTTATATATGTACATATATACTAAGATTCTGTAACTTCTGATTTAATAACACTACTGTGACAAAGCTATTAGCAGCAGCACCATTGAATAGCGAAACGTCGTTAGAAACAATGAGAGTATCGTTTTGTTTTGCATTCATTCATTCATTCATTCATTCATTCATTGGGAAATACAAAAAGCCTTTTATATGAATGAATATCACTGGCTTATTTATTTCAAAAAAAATATTAGAATTGAATTTCGTCTGGACATACGGGATTTGTTCGTTTAATCATGCTGTTTTCCATCAAATCCTGTTATCGAATATCGCTCCAGTTTTTCATCTCTGATAGTATCACTACTAACTACTATTATTGTAATTATAACTAGATGTACAGTTTATATGCAGTGTGTATATTACAGTTAGGACTGATGAGATCTGGTTGAAAACAATACTGTTTGCTTTAAAGTGCTATTCTACATTAACTATATACCAAAAGCAGCAATATCGGATAGTTTCTTAACCCATTGGCTTTTTATAACAGGTCCTAAGGCCGCGTAAAGAGGGAGGGTTGGGTTGGGTGTGGGGCTAGCGACTCCACAGCACAAAACCAGTGATGCTGCTAGAGAAACTACAGTGCACAGGAAAAAATATTACAAATACAAAGAATTATAAGAGATGAACTTATTGTTTGCTGGAATCGGAGAGACGAAATGACACAGTGGGCTGAAGATCTGAAAGCCAGCCTTCGGGAAGCCAGTCAGCTAGCTAAGTGATGTATCTTCTCTCGATGAAAGCAAGGGTAAGAATGAGGGGGGACGTGGAATGTCCGTACAATGTGAGCTAGTTTTCAAAAATTTCACGTCCTGATCATGTTCGCAGTTCTCATTCATGCTTAAAGCATCAATGAACGGGGTATATGCGTTGTTTTTAGTTGACATAGAAGCGTCATCCTGTAGTATCTACAGGGGATTCTTGCAGAAACCTGCAGCACTCCACTGAGCTAGTGTAGATATCATAAAGTTAACTGACAAAGTCTGTTACCCAGTCTTCATGCGATAAGCTACACCTGTACTTACTCTTTTCTAGTGTGGTATAATATTACATAGAACGTCTTAATAGGCAGTGATTTTTTGATGGATCACAAAGCTGACATTGAAACTTAGAGTGTCTTAGCACTTGTGCGTCGGTAGCACAGTGGTTAGGACTCTCGCCGACCATGCACATGGTCCGGGGTTCGAGCCCACGCCGACGCACACCTGATATCTATGGTCGGCCTGCGAATTTTGGGCTACCGATATCCACGCTGAAAATTCCACACTTGTCCCAAAAATACGGTGTGGAATCAAGCTGTAATCAAAAATAAAAAAAATTAAATTAAATTAACTGAGTGTATACGACCACTCAGGCTTTACATTTTACCATTAGTGCTCCAGTGTTTTCACGTTGGTTGAATGGTTCGTCAAGATGTTCACTTCTCTCTTTCAAAAGTGAAGTTGTTCATCTGGCTCCATTCACTCCCGACAGAGAAGAATTCAAGGAATGATATGAATATTAAATCTCATGTAATGTATAGGGATTATTGATACTATTGCAGTCGCCAAGATAGGCTAAATTAGATGAAAATACATCAGTCCCAGCGGGTTGATAGCTGACGACACCTCAGCATGGATAAAAATGGCTCGATTGGCATACACCAAATAACGCTATCTCTGGAGTAAACCTGATATCCGACTTTCGACCAAAGAACGTGTGCACTGGTCAGCAATACGCTCCGTCCTCCTCTATCACTCTGAGAAAAAGACACTGAAAGTGGAAGACATGCAAAGACTAGCTTTCTCTGGTCATAGGTGTCTACATTCTATCTCCATTGTTAGTTTAGGTGGTAGAATAAGGTGAGGAATATTGAAGTTAGGCGCCAAGTGTTAGGCAAGGAGGGACAATCAATCGAAGAGGTTGTGAAGTTGCATCGATGACCTGTCTCTGTCTGTCTGTTTTCGACATAGAACTTTGCACAAATGTGCGGCAGTTCAAGTCGCCACACTCCCTCCTTGTAGCACACAAAGCAAGAGAAGAAAGGACAAGGAAAGCATAATACAGACAGTAAGCAGAGGTGTGAGACAAAGGAAGAGTAATAACGAAGAACAAAACAGTTTCATTGGAAATCATAATTCACAAGGAGTGGATGCATCTACGCCTGCCACTGAGAACGATTTTGAGCCATGTCACCAATTGTTTCTAACCATTTGTTTTTACCGTCCCGAGGACCCCAACTAGTCAGGAAGTCTACACTTTCCTACATGGCTTAGACCAACTGTTGTGGATTTCATTGACTGGTGCCAAGTTTTTGTGTGACCTCCGCTAGCTTTTTTCCAGCCTGACCCTATATTCGCTAACATTGCTCTTCGAGGAAGGCAATGGCATCGATGACCAATGTTAGCCGAGTGACATAGGATGGATCAGGCTGGCGAAGAGCTAGCACATTGTGGTCAAACCAAAACATGTCTTCATCAGTCAGTGAAATCCACTACTACAGTTAGTTTAAGCCGGTCACATAGGGAGGTGTAAACTTCCTGACTGACTGGTTGGGGTCCTCGGGAAGGTAAACACAGATGGCTGAAGACAATTGTTAGTGATATGGCTCAAAATGGCTCTCAGTGAAGGCAGCCGCAGATGTAATTTGCCATATCCAATGAAACTCTAGTGTCCTTCCATGTTATTATTCTTTTGCCTTGTATCTCTGTTGATTATCTCTCTCTATTCTCTTCTCTTGCCTTGTGTGGTACATCGAGAGTAGCAACTTGAGCTGCTGCACAAGTGTCCAAAGTTCTTTGTTGAAATCAATCACTCGGAATTAGGTGAAACCCGACACACACACACTTTGGAGACGCACGCTGAAAGCAGCCGAACGCTTTAACTGTTCGTCGATGCCACAGTAGTGTTAGGGCGCTTGCCGACCACATACACGGTCCAGGGTTCGATCTCCGGCCGCCAACGCACTCCTTTACCTAGCTAAGCCAGAAATAATGCTAGTAAAGAAGAAAGGTTGGGCATGAAGCTAGCTAGCAAACCCATCCTGTAAAACTAAACACTGCTACAGAAACTTCAAGCCACTAGCTTGAAGGTGCCTTATGTTCCACTGGGAACGTGAAGGAAAAAGAAAAAAGAAAACTCAGCAATAAGAATATTAAGAGTGGAACAAAAAAACTAAAACTATGATAAAAACAACAAATCACATAATGAAATTGAAAAAAAACAACTAAAGAAATCAACATCTTCACATACCTTCATGAAGTTTTCGATGTATTTTAAGTCCTTTATGTGTTTGTAATTTCTTATGGCAAGTTACACATTCGTAGGCTTTACCTTGTGAGTGAATGTAATAAACACAGTATATCAAGAAGTATTACGTCATACAGCAATCAACACACAATTTCATGTAAACTTCAAGTAAACATGAACGTCGGAAAATACCTCGACTACTCTCTAACCCCCAAAAGAGGAAGGAAGTGGACTGATAAAATCGTAACAGGAGGTAATAATTACTTGAGCATTTAAAACACAAAACCTGGTGCAACATAGACATCAAGATGCGCCGCCATACAATAGTAACAAAACTCCAACACACTTGAAAAAATAGGTAGATATTTAATAAAGGAGTTTTTAATTAACAAGACCAAACAGCATTCTTCGAATTATTGCCAGAAAGGGGAGAAAGAAGGAAATTGCAGCAATTTCACCGTTGATGATGGCGATTCTTGGCCACATTCGATAACGTTTGGAGCCACCGATTCGAGATGTCCCTCGGACGCTAGATAGGGGGTCGGGATGTACCAACAGATGCTGACCTACCCCAGATAGCCTTGATTCCACGACGCCACATCATGGGCTGACCAACTCTACACTTTTTCCATTCCATCCCAGGACTAGTGAACACAGACCGGTACGGAAGCCTCTAGGATGACGTTCATAGAACATACCCAAGTCACCGAAGCCGGTGTTACCAGACGACAACACTCAATAAATGGTGATCTCTTCTGTGAACAAATACAAGCTGTCGGACCTCCGAATTACTCACACAATGATGCCATACAAAGCAAGCAATTATACGGAGATAGAGATGGTCGAATAGGCAGTGTCACCACACATCCTCAGTTCGGAAGGGTAAGGTTTCATAGGCGTAGAGCAAGACAGCGCGCACCAAAAAGTTACAAACCCAACCCTTGACAGTCAGGCTAACGTCGCAACAGCATTAGAGGTGACTCGAATTAGCATATGCCACTCTAACGTACATGACACGGTCGGAAATCGCGACAGTCACACCGCCGCCAGCACCCACACAACTACCCAGATACACGGACTTATTGACAAATTTAAGCGCTCCACCTGCAATAGTGAGTGGAGGTGCAGGTCCTGTAAATCTTGTAACAGTACTTTGCACTTAAATGGCGCAAAGCACATAGCATACTTACAGACACTTATTGCCAACCGGTTAAGTGAAATTAGGGCAGCCCACGTGCTATCACACACTGAGACGATATCATCTACATACTTGAGATCGAACAATGGAACAATTCTCCAAGAAGCAGATCTACACCACCACCACTCAAGTCCTTCAGAGCTAACTCCAGAATGCTATAAACCTCATCCATGAAAACTGCGAACATACGACAAAGCCATTGGAGTTCGGCTTTTTATCATAACACTGATTCATCCATCTCTAACCAAACTGAATGCTGCGTAAGCTTAGAAGTGATTGCGTAGTTTGCAGTGAAACAAAACGGTATCATACAAATAAAAACAACAATCTTTCAATGTGTTTTCATAAACTAACCTTCATGTTTAACACGAATGTGTTCGTCCAGATGACTTTTCTTTGCAAAGTTTTTGTCACACTGTCGACAAAACACTCCTGAAATAGTTTCAAATATTTCATGAGTCGAAAACATTTATTTCCCAATACGAATTTAAAACAAGCAACAAAGGTTAATAAAGCAGGAATTCATTGGGAATTCATCAGATTTCGGTAGAATTCGTCAGCTGACACTCGTCTGCAATCATGAAAGATGTTTTCTTATTCAGGCTTTTGGCACTTTGCATTCAGCTGTTTTTTTCAACCATTTTGGCAAATGCTCCATCATGCGCTTCAATTATTAACCTCCCTTTCAATTCACCTAAATATATTACTTGTAATGCCTCACCAAACCCTATTTTGTGATTACATGCAAGTGAATGCAGTGCAGTGCAATGGCTGAGGTCTGTTTTTTCTAGGTTATTTAACTTACTTAATAGGGTCAATTATGCTAGGTCTAGCTCACTTTTATATTCCAATAATCAACTTGACACCGATCTACTAGTTTGATCTGTGTTGTAACTGACCTCGCTTATGATCATCACACGGTATTTGGATAATTACCTTATTTTTCTTAATTGGATCTAATGGCTCCACAAGCCGAAAAAGTTCAACTCTGAGTGAAATAGGTGGTTGATTGCTTTAAAAGTCAACTGGATTCATCATTCTAGCTTCATTTAGAACCCTATACAAGACCCTAATGTTCCCTATTCATACGCCGGTGCTACAAATGCCTGTTGTTCTCATTTTTATTGCTAATCCCAGTTTTCCCCAACGTTTCAGCAACTGAAATGGTGAACATATCCACACTAGACATGACTGAGAACCATTTCGAGTTATATCACCAACAACTGTCTTCAGCCATCTGTGTTTACCTTCCCGAGGACCCCAACCAGTCAGTCAGGAAGTCTATACCTCCATACATGGCCGGCTTAAACTAACTGTAGTAGTGGATTTCACTGACTGATGAAGACATGTTTTGGTTTGACCATCATGTGCTACCTACTCTCCAGCCTGATAAGTCAGCTAACATTGGTCATCAGTGAAACTTTACAAGTTCGTCGATTGATTTCCTTTCCTGGTCTAACACTTGGCGCCTAACTTCAATATTCCTCATCTTATTCTATCACCCAAATCAACAATGGAGATAGAATGTAGACACCTATGACCAGAGAAAGCTAGCCTTTGCATGTCATGCACTTTCAGCGTCTTTTTCTCAGAGTGATAGAGGAGGACGGAGCGTCGGTGGCACAGTGGTTAGGACTCTCGCCGACTATGCACATGGTCCGGGTTCGAGCCCGCACCGACGCACATCTGATATCTATGGTCGGCCTGCAAAGTTTGGGCTACCGATACCCATCCTGAAAATTCCATACTTGCACCGAAAATACAGTGTGGAATCAAGCTATAATTCAAAAATAAAAAAAATAAAAATAGAAATGAAGAGCGCCTCGTTTAGGCGCCATTAAGCGCGGAAACGGAGGAAGGTTGAGATTAACAACCCTATCTATTATAAAGGAAATACTACTGTGCTGTTGAAACGTCAAAGCTGAAGCCTGAAACTCTATATTCTACTGGGAATGCTAAGCAATAAAATTTCTGAAAGACAATAAATAATAAAGCATGGTGAATACATATTCAACAGGTCGATAAACACAGTCTTACTTCTTGGAACTACCACAGACTTTCCCACTTGGTTCTTTTCTTTCGCCTCAGTTGGACTTTTGGGCTTTATCACATCAACTGAAATATACAAAAAGTTTTAAGAGATTAACATTTTACATCTAAATAACACTTGACAATCATAGTTAGTTCTACCAGATCGATATAGCTGGGCTGGTTACTGTACAAGGTGCAAGCCACCTACTTTGATCTATTAAAGTTCGTGCTCATTCACTTCCAAAGCAAAGAAACAAACAAGCAAAACAAAAGGCGAAAAACGTTATGCAATTGGTGTTAAGATAGGTCAAGTCCACTGTAGATTTAATGACTGAAGAAGCTTCTTTTGTATTCAGAGTTCAAGTTTTAATATGTGGATTGCCATTGCTTCTGTGGTTTGAAGAAGTCTGATTAGTTATCTTTACGGATTATCAAAATTGCACAAAAAAGATATACCTCTTCGACCCATTCTCGATGTGACCAATTCACCAAATCATCGTACTGCCTAGTGGCTAGTAGACCTACTGGAACCAGTCAGAAGGCGGATTTCCTTACTCTTACCACTTACTCCACTTACTCCGAGATTCCTTCGATTTTGTCAATTCCATTGAAGACGTCAATGTTTTCAATCAAACCATGTTCTTACTAGATGTGGTATCAGTGTTTACAAACGTCCCACTAACCGAAACAATATGCTATATATGTGAATATATATTGACTCAAAGCAGACGAACATCAGTATACCTACTGAATATTTGAAGGAATTCCTATTGAGATGCACCCTAAACGTTCAATTCTCTTTCAATAACCATATATCTATATATATCGACAAAAAAGACGGTATAGCTGTGGACTCGCCATTCGGCCCGTTGCTCGCAGACTTTTTCATGTCAAAACTAAGTAAGAAGCACACATCTAAATAAAATGATTGACAACTTTGGATTCTACAACTTACTAACTTTCACAGATGGGCTCCTCTACGAACAAAACTAAACCAGATCCATTCAATGAACCACAGAATTCGCAGCATTTGCAGTTGTGATACTGCAGAAGAGAAGCTAAATACTCTGAAGAGAATCTTCATAGAAAACGGCTACCCAGAACGTTTTATCACAAAATCTATGAAGCCTAAACCACCAAACCGCCTACATTGTCTGCTCCCAAAAAACTGCTTTACCTGAATCTACAATTCAATGGAGATTTATAAGCAGAAATACTGAGAAACTACCTGTCCTGCTCACTGAGGAAAACCTTCTTCGCGGCTGAACTTCGACTAACCTTCTCCACAAAACCAGTGATTCGCGTGAACTTTGGCCTCATCAATACGCATCTACCAATTTACCTACACGTTTGTAGCTACGGAAGGTCGGCTATCCAAACGTATCACCGAACACTTACCCTCATGGTTTCAAAAGAGGAGTAAGAACCCCTCTACAAAGCTCTATTCTGGAACACCTGATCGAATCACAACACCAAGAAAACCCGCAAAATAACTTCAAAGCCATCTAAGGAATACACGAGAAACTTGTCAACAGGGTACGAACCAAACTTCTTCAAACCACAGAAGCAATGGCAATCCACATATTAAAACCTGAACTCTGAATACAAAAGAAGCTTCTTCAGTCATTAAATCTACAGTGGACTTGACCTATCTTAACACCAATTGCATAACGTTTTTCGCCTTTCGTTTCACTTGTTTGTTTCTTAGTTGTATAATATTTTTCCCTACCCTTTATTACCATTGGTGTTAACTTGACTTTAGTTCAGTTAATTTTAATTTTAGCTGAGCTCTACTCAACTCCGTCAATTAGATTACGTCATTCAACTAACTTGCTCATTTAATCCTAATTTAGTTTCTAACCCACTGACGAAATTTGTTATCTCGAAAACTTACACTTCTAATAATTATGCTTAAGTTTATACCTGATTAACGCTCTCTCTATTACGTAATTTGTCAGCTGAAATTTACAATTCTCGTGACAAATTCTTGAAATATTCATTTTGTTACTAAGAGAATCAGCTAGCTGTATATATGCGACTGTACAACACATGAGAATGGATATCGCGGAAAAGAGTAACACTCTTCGCCGAGCGTCTGTTGTTTTATAATATTAGATTTTTTTTCATGTCTATTTATGCATATTTTTGAATAAATTCTGGTGGGTAGTTAGTTAGTTATTCGCTACCAATACTTCCTTTATTTGTTCGATTTCATTATTTAAATCCTCCTCCAGCTCACTAGTTCGGCTGTTGGCCCGATTATACAGAAAAAACTAATCCTATGCTTCTTAACCGCTTCTGGATGGGATGAATTAAAGGGTCTAATTATTTGTTTGAGTGTGTGTCAGTCTCCTATAAATCCCAGCGAGTATCTAACCCACCATCTTGTTTTGTGTTTTACCCTGTTCATTTTCCAGCTGACAAGTGAATTGGATTCCTATTGGATTGCTATTGAGTTGATATGTGTGTGTGTGTGTGAAAAAATGAGGGATACGTTCAGGTGTCAACACAGTGATGCATGGAATGTGTTATCCACACATCTCCACCACAACCAAGGTGGAGCACGATTAAAAACGTGGCTGTCAACAGATTAAAATCTGAAGACATTATTCCCCCTATAGAAGCAGCAATATGTGTGAAATAGACAAAACTTCTGCGGAACAAGTCAGAGCACAATGTGGCTTGACACTAAAAACTTCAGAAGAAAGGAAAAAGCAATGTATTACAAAACGAAATAGCAGCTCTAAATGCTTGAGAAACGACAAAATAGCATAGTGATCACAAAATTGGACAAGGGAAATACAACAACAGTAGTCATGGACAAATCAGAATACATAAACAAGGTCAGTCAACATATTAAAACAGGACCATATGAGGAAGTTAAAAAAACTTGTGGACACTATTATCAATAAAATAGAAAATTCTACTAAGTAATCTAGTACTGGCTGAATGATCTTTTTCCATATAAAACTTTGCGCATATGTGCAGCAGTTCACCTGCCACACTCCTTCCTTGTACCCCACAGAGCGAGCGGAGAGAAGAGAAAGCTTCAAAGCAGATATAATAAACAGAGATATGAGGCAAAAGATTGGTAATATGGAAGAACAATTGAGTTTCATTGGATGTGACAAATCACAAGTAGTAAATGCATCTGCACCAGACATCACTGAGAACCATTTCGAGTTATATCACCAACAACTGTCTTCAGCCATCTGTGTTTACCTTCCCGAGGACCCCAACCAGTCAGTCAGGAAGTCTATACCTCCATACATGGCCGGCTTAAACTAACTGTAGTAGTGGATTTCACTGACTGATGAAGACATGTTTTGGTTTGACCATCATGTGCTACCTACTCTCCAGCCTGATAAGTCAGCTAACATTGGTCATCAGTGAAACTTTACAAGTTCGTCGATTGATTTCCTTTCCTGGTCTAACACTTGGCGCCTAACTTCAATATTCCTCACCTCATTCTACCACCTAAACTAGCAATGGAGATAGAATGTAGACACCTATGATCAGGGACAGCTAGTCTTTGCATGTCTTCTTACTTACTTTACTTCGGTTATCTCCTATGGGAGGATGAGCCGGCTTCATGAACCATGAAGTTTCATGGGAATTGGGTACGAGTGATGTCCCCAGCATCGCTCAGCCTTTTGTTTGAGAGTGCAGCTCTAGCCTTTACACAACCAAGTGTGACCTACAAGGAAGTAGGAGTGGAGTAGGGAGAGACTATCCATTGGCAGCCGGTGACCGGAGTCCGGTTCATTCGCCTTTTGAATGGGGCCAGTCATCCAGGGCATCCAATAAGTCCTTTGTCCATACGTCTGCCGGTGAGCTCCAGTGAGCTTCATACGCCAGTCGTTGGAGGTTTGGAATCAGGGTTTAGCCATCTCCCCTAGACTGTCATCCAATGGACAGTCAACCCGGTGAAGAGCGCGGGGCATCCGCTTTTGCCCTCTCACTTTGGTGAAAAACACCTCCGCCACGTGAAGGCAGTGAGTAGTACTTCCTCAGGAGAGGCTATGTAAGACGCCCGGTTATATGGGAGCATTTCAAGAGGTGTACGGAGGGGTGGCCAACCCGCAGCGCAATACACCCACCCCCGACCATCCTGAGGCTTTGCATGTCTTCCACTTTCAGTGTCATTTTCTCAGAGTGATAGAGGAGGACGGAGCGAAATGGTGAGCGCCTAATTTAGGCGCCATTAAGCGCGGAAACGGAGAAAGGTTAAGATTAACAACCCTATCTATTATAAAGGAAATACTACTGTGCTGTTGAAACGTCAAAGCTGAAGCCTGAAACTCTATATTCTACTGGGAATGCTAAGCAATAAAATTTCTGAAAGACAATAAATAATAAAGCATGGTGAATACATATTCAACAGGTCGATAAACACAGTCTTACTTCTTGGAACTACCACAGACTTTCCCACTTGGTTCTTTTCTTTCGCCTCAGTTGGACTTTTGGGCTTTATCACATCAACTGAAATATACAAAAAGTTTTAAGAGATTAACATTTTACATCTAAATAACACTTGACAATCATAGTTAGTTCTACCAGATCGATATAGCTGGGCTGGTTACTGTACAAGGTGCAAGCCACCTACTTTGATCTATTAAAGTTCGTTCTCTTTCACTTCCAAAGCAAAAAAGCGGTTCAAAACTGATAGATACTTAGAATTTAGAGAATTTACACGTATATATATATATATGAACTGGTTCTACGCGACTTATGTATTAACATGATAGCATCAAGCAACGATGGATGGTATTGTCGAACACATCACGAAATAGATATTTTGGTTCCCGAATAAACCAAGACCAACAGGAAGCCACAAGGGAAGATACATTGTCGACACAGAGACTTCAAGAGACAATCTCACGCCACTAACGTGGGTACCGAATGTAATTAAATCTGACAGCGATTGGAATAATGGCTACCATCTAAAACTGAGTTAAAGTGTGATACAATCCCATTCAAGAACAAGTGTGAAATCATGCTACCTACCTCTACCTCAGACAAAGTATCAAACTACATCATACTGGAAAGACTGAAAGGTGTCAAGCATGGAAGGCTTCACAGGGAATAGACCGAATTCAGCAAGAAAAACTCCATTTGCGGACTAAATTGCAACACTACGCATCATCATCGAACACTGTTCAGAGTCACAGACAACTCTTCACATTAACCTCATCGATGTGGTTCGGAAACTGCATCAACATTAGAGAGTACCACAAACGTCTATAAACGTTATTCAATTACTATTATGACGATGCCAAAGATAAAATAATTCACAACGTAAAGACAACCGGAAAGAATCTGAAGTGAAAACAGAAGCAGGACAAGGCCACCCTCTATCATCTATCATCGTCCTGATTGTGGTCGACTGGGTCACGCAACAGACAATGGAGAGTGGAAGACAGGTATACACTGGAATGACAAAAAGACACTAGATATGAATTCCACAGATGATTTGTCTCACGTCGCACAAACTAGAAGACATACAACAGAAAAGGAACAAGTTGGTAAAAGACAAGACTTCACATGATGGAAATACCCAACCAACGGTACAGATCAAAAGGAAGCCATGTAGTTAACTAATCTTGTCAGTCATTTTAACTACATGGATTAGGGTATCAAAACCAGGATTGACGTCCATCACTCCTCAATAAGTGTGGTGATATACAACAGTTAGCAAAACGACAAAGATACAAATTTATGAGTCTATTACCATGTCAGTGATTCTAGAGCACGAATCACTAAAACATTTGCAATAGGATACTGACGCCTTTCACCGAAAACTGTGTCAGCCTGGCAGTGAAGATCAGATGACTACCAAAAGACAAAGGGAATGGAATTCACACAACGAAACAGGTAAAAATCTGTTGCTCAACAAAAACTACAGGAGGAAAAGGATTGAGCATACTCCAAGAAAACTTCCTTGTAACACTAAACTTCAGGTCCTCTAATATAGCCCAAATAGGTAGCAACAAGTTGGGCGACCGTAGGCAACATGAAGATCATGTGGAGAAGTAAAAGGCTGAGTTTTCACAGAATCAAATGAAAATAATAACAGAGAACCGACTTAGATGCTGATGTGCCACAAAAACTTCATGTTTCTCTCAGAGTAAGAAATGAATAATAATACCAATAATGTGTTTAATTTATATCACATACAAATTTAACACACCTAAAAAAGAATTACCTGTTCCAACCTCAATTTTACAGTCCTCTTGTTTTATTGAGTTCCATGACCTTTCCGACATTAGTATATGACCTGGAAAATACAAAACGTTTTAAAAAATCAAATAACATCGGCCATAAGCTGGTGTCTTCTAACACATATCTTGACCAGGTCGATCAAGTTGTGGGATCGATATATTTCACCATCACGAGCTGTTGTGCAAGATACATGTATCTGCAGATCATCCATCTGAATCTGTCAGCGTACAAATGTTAACTTTCAAAATTAGACGCAAACTTAAGACTAACCGCTGTTCTACTTATTCCAAAACTGAGCTTGAGAATCGATTAGTTAGTGAATGTGGTAACACATTCAAGTACAAACTGGTTTCCTGCTATCCCTTATAAGTAAACAACACTGCAGGATGTTCGGCCTACCCTTCTATTATTTTCACGCCAACTTAAAAATCATTTCGTAGTGTTTTGAATCCTTCATTGCTCTGCCAATGGCAGAACCTTCGGTTCCCCCCCACAACACTCTCCGGTTAATAACTTGCCCTTTTGTTGCTTCTCCGTTGTAAAAGAATCCGACTTGAAGTGATGCACATTCTTAGAGTATTTGAGGACGCTGTAGCCATGTTATCAACATTATCTCAAGAATTAAACAAAGATAAAGTGATAAAATGACACAAAATAAGAGCTGCTCCAACTACACTGAGCATATGTGTGGTATTGTTTGAAAGTGTCACATAGATGGGTTTGTGTTACCTGTAATATATTATGTGGCTCAGTTGACTCTGCGAATAAACGACGAGTCAGATCAGCCTTAAACACAGTCTAGCTCTATCGGTCAATGCATTAAGGTGACGACACAAATAATAAGCGCAGCTTGTATATTGCATATAATATTCTCAGGAGTAAGGGTTCACTTGAAAAAACCCACGAGTGACCTTGGTGCTCCCAGATATGCGTCCTTTTTGTAAGTGCCATCTATAAAAACCCCAACAAAAAGCCTTACAACTACGTTTCACCTGAATCCATCCCCGTGTCTCTGGGTCGAACCTACTTCCAAGCACCAGATACTGACGCTACAAGGTGGTTACTTTAGAGAATGTTGGGACTCCAGAATCCTTGCAGCACTTAAAACAACAGCATCCACTTTCTTCTTTCAATACTCCAAACACTTTTTGTACAAATGTACCGCCTTTCACAAGAATTAGCCTTGTCCACAATAGTTGGCTGCCTGGAAACTATTCGTGCATTCAAAGTTCCCAATAATAATTTATTCGAAGTGGTGTACCAATGACACCATGTAAAACTGTAAGTAACTCACCTGACTGCGTGAATGAGTGGGGACACACGCGCAATTGAAGGCGCGAATACTTACACTGGCCACGTTGGAATTGAATCCGTGCAAAATTCAAAAAAGATAAACAAACATTTTCCTCAACTAAGAATAAAAAAACCATTCTAAGGCAACAAAAGGTAATTTTCATTTATTATTAATAAGCAAATTCAGCATTTTATTAGCCAGAAAGCCTCCTCAGGGACTCATGCTCAACTCTGACTTAACGAACCAACGTAAGAGTGATGCAGGTTTTAAGTACCCAAAGTAATACGAAGCTATCAGGAAAACTTTAAGTTCAGATTTGTTCATAATACACTAAATCTGAATAGGTTATAAACGCAATGTAGTTGACAGGTTATCGTTCGATTTCGGCTTAAATTTCAGATATGAAACCCAGATATGAAATCTAATATCCACTATCCAATATCGTTTTTACGCGCTAGTATAAACCAATTTGATTTCTTTGTGCTCGCTCCTTGATTGTAAAGTATAGGTTCCTGATCTTCGGTAAACTTCTGCGTAGCTTGTCCCGCCACTCGACTGTCGTAGCTCTGGTTGACTCCAAAGGGAGTAGTGCTAGGATTAATTATATGTGGCTTATAGTATGAAGTGTGTTAAGACTGTTACTACTGTGAATGGAGTTGATCCTTCACCAGTTAGTCCTGCGTTATCGTCGACAAAGAAATGAGATAATAATAATAGTAATAATAATAATATTAGATACAATTAGTGAAGTTATTCGGACTAACAGACAGAAAAAGAAATAAGAAAGCGTAACAACAGTCAGCCGATTAAACTTGAAGAATAATATGAATTATAGATATATATCGGTTATAATGACAATAATAACAAGTGTAGTTAAAGTTGTCAAGAGAGTAAGACGGGAGAGAATGCAAAGAAGTTAAACGACACCTTTAATTGTCTACTCATGAATGGTTGTCACATACGTCACGTAAACCGTTAATGCCCAGCTCTTGCTGCACTCGGGCTCACGCTGTTCCTTGAAGTTTCTCAGAAACGCTTAGTAATAACGAACGCAAAAACCAAACCACCAATTGGCGACTCCAGGATTCTTTATTGTAACACCAACATATAGCCAACTTTACAACTAAGGTCTGTGAACAAATATTACAATATTACTTCTGAAGGTTTTCTGCTGACTTCTTTCTGAACAGCGACCGATGAGACGATGACTGGTGTATCGATGTCTCCGCGAAAATTGGGGAAGTTGATTTTGAGCAAACAACCAAGAATTGATCGTTCAATCTTCAACTACATTGACACTCCCCGGCAAAAAAGGATCCATTCCTTTTTTCCATCACGACCAATACACATTGACTTGGATGCCATTGCGAGAACCTGGGTCACACGGACAGAGCTGAAGTGGAAAACAAACAGAAAAGCCAACACACCACAAGCATACCCACAGCACAATCTCACATATCGATGACGACCTGCGCCTCCAGTTAAAGGTATCCTCTTGACATCTTGCAACACAATCGCCACTTGCTAGAATGACTCTTGCAGAATGCAACGTGACCATAGCACCACCTCATGATACTCTACGCACATTCTCTTATCTACTCACTACCAATTACCACTGCAATCGCTTGTCACTCATTCTGCCTCAGTTCTAGTAACGGTGACGTATGCGAGCCTCAGTCGTTTACACTCTTTCTCCCCGGCGTGTCGGACCGCAGCTAACAATTATCTCCGTGTGCATTTCATTCTCAGCAATAGCCTAGCCTCCCGGCGTATACGACCCATCTGCTGTCTCTAACATCAATCAATTCATTCACGGATGTAGAAGACTAGACAACACATTGGAAGTAATCACGACGAAAATTTTAACAAAATTACGCAATAACAACAAGATACGAAAACAACGAGTAAACACAATGAATCCAAAAACAATTGATATGACACACCACACATATATACAAACTGTACACAAAAACTCGCGGATCATGTCTTGATGGAATTCCTTTGAAGAAATGCAGGACTTAAACCTGTAGGCCTACAACCCTTCTCACGTTGACGATTGTAAGTTGTGGAATCTCCGGACGCAAACAAGATTAACCAACAATTACGATAATTGGAACTCACACAACTATTTAACACAAACATATGTACAATCACTACATCAAATGTTGTGGATTCCGGCATGACAAACTACCCTTGAAGAACTGTAGGACTTACATCAGTACGCCTACATTCCTTCTCAGGTAAATGATCCAAGTGGAAGTCGTCCGGACACAAACAGAATTACCAACAGCTAGATGACAGATGATGTCAATTCAGTATATACAATATGAACATATGTACAAAATCACACACCGAGCACATTGGACTGCTCATTGATGCGCTACCCTTTGGAGAATTGTAGGACTTACAGCAGTACGCCTACAACCCTTCTCAGGTTGACGCTCTAGGTTGGAAAATCGTTGCAGAGTTCATTTGCTGACCTCCTCCTATCAGCTATATCTTCAAATCTGAACGGCAACTCGCTCATGTCATTGTGTCGTAGAATATAGATGACGAACAAACACACGACGTATCTGGTCAACCAGGCGTAGGCACAGAGCAATTTACACCAAAGATAATAGCATTCAAATAGTAACTTGAAACTAGAAATGCCTTTATTCATGCAAATCAATTTAACAATTACTCTCTCGTTTACACTTGGCTTATCCTCACGAAACTGAGCAATATCTTTCGTCCCTTCAAATGCACCAATACTATCATAGTCACTGCACAAGATACTTGAGTTGATGTGCGTCGGTTTCATTGTGGATGACAACACCAACGACGACTGAGTGATACCATATGGAGGCAATTTTATTTTGAGAAAATCTGACAGTGCTATACAGTAATATCTTCAATCAGTCAAAACAGTTTTCAACATCGTTCAGACCATCAAAACATTTATGAATAGTAAATAAAAGGATTAATTCAATTTTAAATTTTCCCATCGATTGATTGGACCAAAGTGTTCGGTCTCAAGTTGACATGTCGGACCCTGGGGTTTAAGCCTCAGTGGGAACAACATCACTCACTGCGGAATGCAGGTACATCCAGATGACGAGTCCCAAACAGGGTGAAATGCGCATCATGGATTCTACTGCTAGTCACCATCCACCAATTCAATAAAAGGTTAGTTGAAAAAGCAATACTAGTGAGCGTGTGTACAAATTACAGTCTTAGATACAAACGGCAGCGAGAAGAACACGGAAACTGCTTTTTCCAGTAGGCATTTTTTAACCTAATAAATGACTTTGAACGAGATGTCTTTAAACAATGGGTGACCAGTGTTGAAAATATACTCCGTATTAACCCACTGTGGCCTGTTTGCAGTCACTTAGCATAATTTTGCTTGAATCTTTCAGGCAAAACACTCAATGAACAATCTATAAATCTTGCTCCAATGGAGTAAAAGAACTGGTAGGTACAACTGGAAATAGGACAGTTAGTCCACTCATTGGAGAGCACTGGATGGTAAGAAGAAAACCAAAGAATTCACTTCTTCTTTTCTTCAGAGACAAACGATGAGACAATTTAATAATAAATAACAGCTTTATTCCAAACGGTATTTGTGGTAGAGGTATGTAATTTTCAGCGTGCATTACAGTATATTGCATTTAATTACCGCATAAATTATATAAGATTTTTAAAATCAAAAAATAAATAAATAAAAACCAACGCCAAAAAACAAATAAAAGATAAATAAAAAAATAAATAAAAACAAAAAAACAGCGTAGAGTTTACATTTCAAACAATGCACCACAGGATATGAAATATAAATTTGATGTGTGATAGAAGATGAGAACAGCAATGCAATAGTAACGAAGAAAGGAAAACAAAAACTAATGGGACTATTTGTTAGAGTGCCACAGTAAGTTTATCATGCCATACCTAACGGATTTCTCATCACATAACAGCTGTGCCAGATATGGTATTGTGGAGTTTTTGTATTTGGTAGTCCTAGCATATACCCGCCTATAGCTACTTCTAGTTCTACCAGATGAAATACAAGGAGATAGATGCGTATAGAGAGGATTCTCGGGGTCCGACAATATTGTATTCGCTAGTTTCTTACATGACGCAATATGTCTATCTACAATAGTGTTAACCAGTTGGTTTAACGATATCCCACTTGCCCTACTAACAGCTTTTAGTGCCCTTCTCAGCGAAGGAAAGTCTTTCTTAAATAGTCCAGGAAAGATTAATGGGGAGAAGTAAAGGGGGATGGGTAGAATACAAGAATTGACAAACTGAGAAAGCAAAGACTGCTTTATGCCAGACTGCCTTAACTTCCTAAGGTAGAAGGTTAAGCTAAACATCTTTCTAGTAACTAGCAAGATGGTGGGGGACCAGGAAAGATCGGTGGAAAAACTCAGCCCTAGGTACTTGACATTAGATGTATTTTCAGCCTCTATGCCGTCAATGATAGTGGGGCCATGTGAGCTAACCAGTTGCTGTAGGTCAGATTTACGTCTGAAAGTGAAATTGACTACCTGACATTTAGACGGATTAAGCTTAAGACCGTTTGAAGAGGACCACTGACTAATTTCCGACAGAAAGATATTTAATTTGGAACAATCCGACTGAGAGTTGACAGGCATAGAAACCGAGAGGTCATCGGCATACTTAACAAAAGTGGCCACATCAGAATGAGGCAAGTCATGTAAGAAAAACAAAAACAGAAAGGGAAAAAGAACAGCCCCTTGAGGAACACCAGCTAAAGTAAGTGAGGTAGTGGAGGACTTTCCATTGTAGACGGTGTACTGCTTGCTATCAGGCCCGTTTAATGTATGAACTCAGAGACTACACCTGTTGTTTGTTTTGTCTCTATTTATAATTCCAGACAAAAAAGCAGCAGTCATGACAATAACACCCATTCAACCAAGAGTCGATCAAACTATGTCTACCTGATACAAAGGGCGAACCATAATCAACATACGAATGAAATATGAGAAAACAAGGTAGAAACTTACCGCAACACCACATGAAAAGATAAAAGTTACTTGGATATCATCTATAATCCACCAACTGGTCTCCTACCCAAAAAGAATGCGGCGATGTTTTATCCAAAAAGGCGAGGA